TTTTACTAGCTTAAATTGCCTTTTTGTTTGAAATTCTTTTTTTAAAGAAACCGAAATAAATTAGCATTCTACTTTAGCCACGTGTCCTCTTTTGGCATTTGGTTATAGTTTTTTTTTTCATTTTCATCCCAATTTTTTTACCTTGATTTTGTTTGTCCTTAGATTATCATATATAATATTTCAATAGATATTTATTCTTAACTTGTTTTAAAATCAATTATATATATGGCAATGATTACATTTTCTAATTTTTTTCCATGAAGTTAAAAAATTGACTTAAATATGTTGTGGTTTGGACATCCGGTAACATGCACAATTAATAGATATCTATTTACACTTGATTGAGCGAGTTCTTAAAAGTTAAAAACCTATTCGAGACAAAATTATAGTTTAAACAATTATTTATTTTCTCGATGTTTTTATCTTAATGAATATTGTGCTTTTTAGATTTATTGTGAAAAATAGTCAAAATATCCAAAAAAAAAAAAAAAAAGAGGAGAAATTAATAGGATTAGACGAACCAAATCAAAACAGGCATGATGACTTTTCACTTATCATTTCCACTAATTAAAACCCAAAATTCTAGACAAGCGATACAAAACCAAAGATCTCAAGTGTCAAAAATTTGACATTATTTGCATGAGCATCCTTTCTTATTATTGTTTGATAAAGTGTCAAACTAACTCCTTTTATTTTTCATTATTGTAAAGCTAATTTATCTAAAAGTTTACAAATAATTTCTTTTACTATTAGTTCTTTATTTTTTCCGGGTTTGCTTGGTGTTCTTCGATCATGCTTCCCAAGTCAACTTTCGTTTTCGATCTTTCCGTTTTGATTTCGTTATTGCTTTAGTGTTAATTGTTTGCTTGTTAGTATCTTCGGGCCATGAACTCGGTAGTTTGTGTAATTAATCGTTTGTTTCGAAAGTTTGAAGAAATTGAAAGAGGAAGTTAGGAATGTGAAGAATAGGAGAGAGAAAGAATCAAAAACTAAAAAAATGTGTTTTCATTGAAACATGAAGGAGGTGGGCCTATTTTTTGGTTTGTAGCCCAACAGAGTAAACAACAAGAGCTGGATCGATTTCAGCTCAGTCCGACCCGATCCACAAAAAATTTTTTTTAAAAAAAGAATGAACCAAAATGGGCTCGGATCGAAGTCGATCAAGCCCATGTACACTCTACCCATGAAAAAAAAAAACCAAGAGGGTTGGAATCAATCCAGCCTCTCCAAAAAAAATTTTTAAAAAATAATAGAGACAAGAGAAAGGAAAAAATAAAAATGAAGAAATAGAGGTAAGGAAGAAGAGAAAAAATATTTTCATTGTGTGGGTTCTATTTTTTTATTTTATTTATTTATCTATTTATTTAATATTTTTATTTTTATTTTTACTTTGTCTTACGTCTAATTATTTTGGTTTTCCCTTTTTTTTTTTTTTAAGATTCAATTTTTAGATGATTTTTTTTATCTTAAAGAGTTTGTGTTATTTATTAGGTTAGATAACTATTTGAAAAAAGATCTATCGAGTCTCCTAAATTTTGAGACTCGATGATAAATTTTTTATCAACAAGAAATAATAAAAATAAAAATTCTTGACGAAGTCTCCTATCCGATAGGGACCGACATAAAAAAAAAAAATCATTTTTAATCGGGATGTCCTTCGACACACCGGTTGTGTCAAGGCTTAAATTGGATCCGATGTTTAAATCGACGTGTCACCCGACGAAAGGGACCAACGATCATTTCAATACGATGTCACGCCCAAAACTAAAAAATTTAATTTGTCCTAAAAAAAAGAAGTTTAAAGATCGGAAAATAATTTAATATTTTAGGAGATGAATTTAGAATTAAACCACATATGGTATTTTTTAAAAAAAAAGAGCACTTTTTGGTGGTTAAATATCTTTTCGAAAGTGTAACCAACTTTTTGCCATAGAATCTCCGAACCAATGCCTATTTATAGGTTTCTAGTTCCTTAATACTAAATGGCGACTTCAAACTCCGTAAATAAACCCGAAAATAATTCCGTAAATACCAATTAACATTTAGATTTATTTTTTTGGGAGTGCCGTCCGACATCACATAGCAACATATGTAATAACCTTATTTTTTATCTCGTTTATTTTCATACAAATTAAAATTTAAAAAAAATTAAAAAATTAAAAAAAAATGTTGCATAGTTTGTTCTTTTTTATGATTTTTAGATTTTTTTAAATAAATTTCTAGGTTTTAATTATTCTTCATTTTTAATTAAAAGAGAAAAAATAAAAAAATGAAAAGATAATTCATCTCCAAACCCTAAAAATTTCTTATATAAACACCCTTTTCTCATTCTTTTCCCTTTAAACCAATTTATAATTTACTCGTTTCCCGTGCTTTGCTCTTCAGTGGAATTTTTAATGAGTTAACCCGTAAAGATGAGAGAAAGGACGTACACGATACGTGACATGAAAACGTGTCGAAAGATGAGAAGAAGGTGCGTGCAAGGACGATAACGCTTCAAGGGACGAGAGGATTCTGATGAAGTAAACCCACTTGCTAGGTTCTTGTTGAAAAGACTTCGCGGAAAATCTAGATCCCTGTAACTAGAAAGGAATCTCACCGGTAACTATAGACATAGTTCTTAAAGGATTTTCTCTATCCTTTCCCAATGCATTACTTCTCAATTATTATCAAGGCATGCGTTAATGATGTCTTGATTATTTTTTAAAGAAAAATCACTCACGGAAAGTCAAATTAAAATCAAGTTGAAAATATAGGCATTACTATCTTCCACCTAGCATTTGCTTCATCAATATCCTGGAAACACCAAACACCATCCTCCCATCGCCCAAGCTTTATCAATAACTTGCCAATTTCCTTCACCTTCATTACCTCTAAAATTTCTCTATCGTCTTTTCTCAATGCATTACCTTTTTTTTTTTTCCCCTCTCTCCTTGGCAGTGGATAATCTCGATCTTGTCAATTATTTTTCTACTTAATTTGTTTCAATTGCTCTTTTCCACCTAACTAAATCTTTTTTTTTTTTTATGTTGAATAATATTCCCAAATGAAGATTAATCAAGAAATAATTAAGGACCCGTAGAGTTAATTATCTCCAATTTAAGAAACTATGCAAATGAAAACAACTATGTAAAGACATAACAACTATGCATATGAAAACAACTATGTAAAGACATAACCATCTCTATCGAAAGAAGAATCCCTAAAAATACGTTTATGACATACTTGTATTTTGTATTATGCTGACTGGATTGCGTTCCCTCTGCACTATATGATTTGGTTAGTTGAATAACTGTCCAACATGCATGATTTGATAGAAGGACCAATATATAACAATACAATTAATTAATGAAATATCTAAATGTCCCAAAATGGAAGTTGGATCCTTCTTGGAAGAAGTATCATGGTAAGCTCATAGATCTTTTTAAAATAATTAATTAATAAGGCATGAAATCGATGTTGTTGGTAAACTTTATATTAATTAATTAATAAAAGAACATTCTGGGTAATGATACCATGATAAAGACCAGACTTCTCTTTTCATCACTAATGGCACCCGTCCCTACGAAGAAGATATATAGGCTTTGAACCCGCACAATCAACTGACTATGGTGATGGTAATTAATGCTATTGATTTCATTTCCCAATGGAGAAAGAGTACTTTTCAATTTTACTTTAGTCATCTCTAAATTAAGGCATATATTATATTACCTTACTTTAATTAGTACTATCCAAGATGTCGGAAACCATTTAAATTCAAGAAATATTTGATGATACCTTACCTTATTAATAATATTTTTTAAAAAAATTAAAAATAAATTTAAATATAAAATTATTAAATGATATGATAGCTATTGAAATAATTTTTTTAAAAAAACATTATTTTTATAGAATTATGGTGATTTTTTTTTACATAACTGATGTCATGTGCCACTCTCTTTAAATTCACACAACAGTTTAGCAGTAAAAGATTCGTCAAAGGTCAAGGTAATTCATTGGATTTGTGGGACCAACTAATGGCTCATTGAATGGATGATTTTTTTTTTTTAATTGGTGTTGGGTGAAGTTAGTTAAAATTTTGGAACTAGGGTTTCGTGCGATTAGATAGTGGGTCAAGTTTTCTCGACGTTGATTAAGATTTGCTTCAATGTGATCGGATGTGGAGCCCACTTTTGAGGGTAGAGGCAAAGCTCCTTGATTTACGCGATGATAAAGTTCACTTTAAAAACAGATCGATACATCAATAATTAATATGCTACCCAGCTACTCTGTTTGACACAGTGCAGCAACTTGTGCAAATCTACTCTGTCACTCCGTCCACCGGCAAAAACATAATTTGATTGAAGGGACCCAGAAAGGAATGTTCAAACTTCCATGGAGGAAGACAAGATCGGCCCTGATCGGAAAGGTCTGCAGGCATAACCAAAACCAAAAATAGGAAAGGTCAAATAAACTTTAAGATAGAGCGCGGCCTGTAGAGCACATGTAACGCGTAGTCGGCTTGTCCACACCAACTTGACGAGAAAATCTACTGACCTAATATTAAAAGAAATTCTTTAGTCATTTTATTATTTAAAAAAAAATCCTCTGCCGTTGAAACAATAATCAATGATGCTTTTTCCATTAATATAAAGAGGATCATGAGATTCTCCCTCATATATGCCCATGGCCAGCATTCAACTTTGATTTGATGACAAAAATAGAGTACTAATTAACAATATTTTATTCATCATTACCATACCTTAATTAGTACTATGTAAGAGGTCGGTAACCATTTACTGCGTCACAACATTCACGCAACAGTTTGACGACGATATAAACATCTAACAATATATAGATGAGACAAAAACCTAAAGCGGAAAAAAAAACAGTGTACTCCACGTAATGTGATATATATATATATATATATAAACTTCTCGATAAAAGAGAAGTAATAACGAAAACCAAGCAAATCAATCAACGATGAGTACTATACTCGAATGAGTTGATCGTAATGGAAATCATGTTGGAAGTGCAGTGGCATCGCTGTCGACTGGTGGAAGATCAAGGTTACGATCAATCGATTCTGAGAGATTATCATTGCTGGGTGGATCTTCTACACTTGAAGCCAACTTCGAAATATTGTTGTTCGGGAAGATTTCTGGAAGCTCAATGACTGAAGCAGATTCTGAGATACCAGAACTTAACATGCTTGTGCAGGTTCTCGGGCGCAAACTAAATGGCCATCCAGTCAATATATCCATGGTGAAACCTGATATGCACTTCGTTCCTGAATCCACCGCCAAGCAAAGTGCTCCAATCAGAAAGCAAAAGCCTTGATGCCTCCAGTTTAACCAAGCATCATGAGAAAAAATATGAGCGATCAGCATAAATACTTCCTGCAATGCCACAGCAAGGAACACAGCCACCCAAAAGTATACATGTTGACGGATACCCTTGAACACATTCTTCATTTCTGGCTCTCTGGCATTTAGGATGTTGAAAACCTGGCATAGAGCATAAGTATGGAAAGCAATGATTTTACTAACTTTCCCATTGATGCCTAGCAGGGCTTGTCCTTTGAAGCAAAAGGTCACCTGCATGGCAATTTGATACGAAACCTGGGTGACAATATTTCTCCACATGGCATTGGTGATAAGCCGTTTGGTTCTTCCTGTTGGCGGGTTTTGCATTAGTTTCTCTGATTCTGGCTGTGTCAAAAGAGCCAAGCCACCTAGAGCTGTCATGATAAAATTTATCCATACGAACTGAACGGTTGTGATTGTATTCTCTGTGGATGCAGCCATGACGAAGGATACTGACAACCATGCAGCAAGTATAGTAACCTCAAGTTGGATGTACTTTTGAATGTTTTTATATGCACATCTTCCATAACCGATGAGGGTTGTCAAGAACATGAAATCGCCATCCCAGGCAGAGATGCCAGAACTCTCTCTGGCCATCTTGGTGCTCCATTTTCCCATTGCAATCCCTAAATCAGCTTGTTTTAGTGATGGAACGTCATTAATTGTTGCCCCGACGACCGCTACCACTTCCTCTTTTTCTTTCAAACACTTGACCAAACGGAGCCTGTCTGAAGGCGATGCGTTCCCCATCACAGCGATTTTGTCCACCGTCTCCATTCTCTCTTCATCTGTCCATGCACGAAATGTCTCTGCATGAATTACGATTGCGTCTGAATTGGGTGTGAGCAATCCAGTTTGGTGAGCAACATTTTTGAGTCCTGATAAATTGTCATCTCGTGAGACTAGTATAATGTTAACTCCTGCATCTCTATAAACCTCCATTGCATCCTTGGTGTCTTGCAAACATAAATCCTTCATACCCATCATTCCCAGCAATATTAAATTGCTTCCTTCCAATGCTGGGGCATCGACTTGACGGTAACCAAATGCAATGGTTTTGAGCTTCTTCGACTGCATGTCCCCGATTATTTTCTGAAACATATTTCTTTTCTGTGCATCCATGTCATGTATTGCCCCTTTGCTATCGTAGTAGCGCGAACACATGGCTAGTATTGTTGTTGGATGCCCTCTCCATTGCAAGCTCATAGCTCCATCGCCTTCATTCCTTCTTGTCAACACCCCATTTCCTTCTTCATTGGGATTCTTTCCTTCAACCATCATGACACCAACGCAGCTGATCTGCTCCAAATTCTCCATTTTCAAACCCAAGTTCCATGTAGCCCATGAAAGGAGAAAGCTGTCCATTGAGGTAGAAGGACTCTGCACGATTGGCACGCTGATACCATTACAAATAGCTTCTAGGACATGAGAATCTATTACAGTATCTTGGCTGATAATTTCGTCGGCGATGCAGAATGTGTCAACTTCCAACATTTCCAAGGTTGGCAAGCTAGTTTTGTCTGTAATAATGGTTGTGACTGAGCCCATAGAGACACAGGCAGATGGTTGCTGAGCATACGCCCTGCCACACAGTGCTTTCTTATTCCAGAAACTGATTGCAAGGGCCAGAAAAAAGGGAAATCCTTCCACAGCCCCAATCAGATAAATCGCGAGGGAAGCTATTTTCCCAGTGGACTGTACCGAAACTCTTTTAATAGAATCTATTATTTCCTCAACCATTTTGGGTTTCCCCTTTGAGTCAGGGAGTTGAGGATTTTGAATATCCTTTTTCAGGATCAAAGTTAGAATCGTGATTCCAGTGATAAGAATGGAAATCACAAGTCCCACGACTTCTAAGCAAGTGATCACTTTTCCGAGTTGAGCTTGTAAACGCTGCTTCTTAGATTCATCGACATTGCTAATTGTCTCTCTCCATACTGTGTTTTCACCAACAGACGTCACAAGCATGCAACCACTCCCATTTACAACTATGGAACCATATAGCAGAAAGGGATTTTGGTCGTTGACTGTGGACTCAGAACCATCATTCAACACCAACAGTTGCCCTGATATTAGCAAACCATCAGCAGGAAGCAGATGCCCCCTCTCCAAGCATACTACATCACCAACCAAAACGTTTGAGGGAAGGATTTGCTGATGGCATGCCCCTCTGATGACCTCAACAACCGTTCTCCCATTTTCAGGCAGCTTCTGCTTCCAGTAGTTTCTCAATGCAGGAGCAATCACCAGTATGAGCATTGCGAGAAGTACAATGCCCCCTTCAAGCCAACCATTGCTTCCTTTCTGCATGATCATGGAAACGAGTGACAGCATGGTAGACACCAAAAGGAGGAAAACTATCCCACTGTCGAAAGATTTTAATGGAAATTGAATGAAAGCTTTCAGAGGGGCTTTCGTTATTGTGTTTCCTGCTGGGATTCCAGTGTTAATATCACTATCTAGAGCTTCTGCAATCCTTTGGATACCTCCAAACTCATGCAGAGATTCAAAATCCTTTGCCTTCACAGTCTCGGCAATGCTTGCACGTTGGAGTTTTGCATTGCTATTACGCTGTTCATGATCTCTGTGGTCAGACGCCACAACAACTAGGGTTACTCTTGGAGCCTGCAACAATCAAATTCAAGATTATTAATATCCTAGCATTCCGCAATAGAATGTTCACAGAATTTATACCTTTTCTATTTGTTTGAATAAATAGAACATAAGATATTTTTTGATATAAAATGATATTAGATTTAAGGTGATCAACGTTGATAAAAGAATTAAATAATTATTTAAAAAATTAATTTATTTATTTCTTAAAATTAGAGAGACTAATTTATCATTTGCTTTATTCTACTCACATGCTGTGCAATGCGCTGAAGGACATGACAAAAAACGAGGAATGGTCTACCGAAGTCAACAAGAAGGACAAGGAATGTTCTACGTGAGTCAACAAAATCAATCTACTTTTGGTTTGGAAGTAAGTTGTAAACTTGTAATGGTGATTATGACCATAATTTTTATTAAAGAAATTAAATAGTATTTAGTTAATAAATACGGTTGGAATTAAAATAAAAAAGTATATATATTTGGTTCGATGGTATCATGTATCATGTGATGTGATACATGATTAAAATATTATAATTATTTTTTTATTTGTAATTAATTTTACCAATCCTGTTGATCAAATTATGGGCGCACGTGACAAACACGTGCAGATAAAATGACTGAAAACCCAATACTTAAATTAAATTATCAAGCCTTTTTTTTTCCTCTATTCTTTTCTTTTTTTTTTGTTTTTTTTTTTTTTCCATCCCCAATTCTCTCATCTCTTCAACTATCAAAATACTCCTTTACATATGTAAATCGCCGACAAACAATTTTTTTACGTCCAAAAACATGACGAAGGTGGATGCTGGATTATACCAAAGATCCCCAAAAGACAAAAGATTCTCATGCATCTAAGAACATGTATAGCGATCAGATCTACTGTTACGTACCATGTCGTCAGATGGAGAAGCAAGAGTCTCCTCGGTATCATTTTCGGCAATAGAGAAGAAACCCGGCAGCGCAGCTTTTAGAAACTCGAAGGACGACTGCAGAGTAGCACTGATGGCTGCAGGAATTGTTGTCTTTAGAATCTCCAGCACCGAAGTCATAGCTTAAGTATTCTATATTTTCCTGTTCAGAAAAGAGAAAAAAGACAAGATTAACCGGTGCTGATTGCGCTAACATATATAACTCTATCCAGGAAACATCAAAAGAGGGCTCGTTGGCAAGAAAGATAGAGTGCGGTCTGTAGAGCACATGTAACCCGCAGTCGGCTTGTTCACACAAAGGATATCTATCTATCCATAGATAGAGAAGGAGATGGAAGCAGAGGTGAAAGTAATTGGGTTTTGTGTGGGTTATATATATATATATATAACCCGCACAAAACCCAGAGAAGGAGATGGAAGTAGATATGTCTATAAAACCCACACAAAACCCAGAAAAGAAGATGGAAGGAGTTATATATATATATATATATATATAGACACACACACACATAACCCAAACAAAACGCAGAGAAGGAGATGGAAGTAGACAGATGTGGGTCTATTAAGACTTTTTTGTTCTTACATCATGCATATAGCAAATGATTGTCTTTGGAAATCCAAAGCTTGATGGGGAGATTGAATTAAGATAGCTTTTGAGCACTAACAATATAAAGAAGATGGCGGACAATAATTAAAACTAAAAGAAGACCGACTCAAAAATGGAGGTAATACCATAAAGAACAAGATTAAAATTCAAGAAAGCTAGAGTTTGAGCAAGGCTACGTACGGACCTGTATCAAATGTTGGACAAGGGAGGGTCGATGAGAAATAGAGCTGTTCAAGGTTTTGGGTTTTGCTTTGTTTTTTGAGCTTGGTAACTAGAAAGGAATGAAGGTAATTGCTTTGCCTTTGTGTTAGACGAAGGTGATAATATATACATATATATATAGAGAGAGAGAGAGAGAGGTGATAATGCATACAGTCTCTCCCTTGATACTAATCCCATGCACGATCGAAGCTTTTCCTTTTTCGCCTAGCAAGTTCGCGGAATTTTCTTCACCTTCATCATCTCTACCGTTTCTCGCCCTTTGTGCAAAGGCGTCTTCTAAAGCATTAGTCAAAAAGTGCAGCCAAGTGTCTTAGAGACTTGGGAGAGAGTAGAGACTTGGGAGAGAGTTTACACGAGTGGGAGATCAGTGAATAGTTATGACATGCTCCAAATATTTTTCCCGTAAATTTTATAATACACATTACACAAAGAATAAAACAGTAAAGAGAAACAAAAAATAAAAAATAAAAAAATATTAAACGAAAATAAAAATATTTTTATTATTTTTTATGAATATAAATATAATTTAATGCGTCTATTAATAACTATTATATACGTCATTAATTATTCTTTATATATTATTAAAAAAAAATTCCCACCTAAAAATCTACCGAATTGACCCATCTAACATAACAATAGGAACACGTTATGTTATCTTATTTTGTTCCTTTCCCTATTTTTTTCTTTTATCTTAATATCATTATGTATATATCTTTCTCCCATTCTGCTTTCCATTTTATGTTCGTCAATGGATGTTATAGACCGGATAAAAAGAAACTCGGACAAAAATAGCAGTGAAAAAACTTAATTATGATAAAATTTGGAAGTAAACCCGTACTCCATTAACCCCGCGCTGTTCGGGGTGGATGTCTAAAAAGTAAGGCATTGTCTTTCTTTTCTTTTGTTTATATATATATATATATATATATATATAAACTCTGGCCTCCACCGGCTCAGCAACCAAAAAGCCAAAGCCGATGATCTTACAAGTACGAATTAGTCGATAATCCATTTCTGCCTATCCAGTTTAAAACTTTCCAATATATAGTACGCTTCTATGTTTCAAAAATTTATTTAAATCTTGATTTTAATTTAATTACAATATTAGCAATAAAAAACATGACGTTATTGTCGTTGAGATAATAATTTAACTTAATATACTGAATTATAAATAGAAAAATTTGTCATGATTTGACACTAAAATTATCTCTTACAATAAATAAAAGCTTATTTTGATATTTTAGATGGAATCACTTAACGAGTACGTGGGAACAAAAATTTATTTATTGCGGAAGGATAAGGGATGATACTGTCTAATATCAATTACGTTTGATGTAAAATTGATAAAATCAAAAGATTAGAGACTAAATTGATAATTGAATAATATATTATGACTCTATTTAGGTTTGAATTTAACAAAAGTTTGGAGACTGCTTGCCTAATATGTTCTAAAGGATATTTTTAACGTTAAATCATAGAAAATTTTCCTTTCCTTTAATAGCTTGTATAAAGAGAAAACTTACTATGATTTGACCTTAAAATTGTCTCTTAGAATAAATAAAAACTTATTTTGAGATCTTGAATGGAATCACTTGATGAATATCTAATAACAGAGGCAGGTTATCTTTGATCGATGTTCCGATCTCCTCCGCATAAATATTGGGCTATTCCCGCACGTCTCTTTGAATTTTTCTCCCTTGATACTAATCCCATAATGCTTACCCTTTTTCTACCAAAACCTTTGATTTTTTAAGGGTTGGACCCGAACATGTGGTGTGTATGCAAAAGAACAACGTTAAACCATGAAGGAAATTACCGTGAGACTCATCATAGTACCTATCCTTGCTGAATGACGTAGCTAATTCGTATTATTCCGGTGGTGGATTACGGGCCCAATGTTTACCCTTTTTCTACCAAAACCTTTGATTTTTTAAGGGTTGGACCCGAACATGTGGTGTGTATGCAAAAGAACAACGTTAAACCATGAAGGAAATTACCGTGAGACTCATCATAGTACCTATCCTTGCTAAATGACGTAGCTAATTCGTATTATTCCGGTGGTGGATTACGGGCCCAATGTTTACCCTTTTTCTACCAAAACCTTTGATTTTTTAAGGGTTGGACCCGAACATGTGGTGTGTATGCAAAAGAACAACGTTAAACCATGAAGGAAATTACCGTGAGACTCATCATAGTACCTATCCTTGCTAAATGACGTAGCTAATTCGTATTATTCCGGTGGTGGATTACGGGCCCAATGTTAGACGCACGGTACCCTTAACGCAGGTTAGTTTTAAACGGGTTGGTTACCCGTGACACGCGGCGGGTAGTGTGACGTTGCTCTTAGTGTTATTATTACGAAAAAAAGATTTAAAAATAGTGGAGAAAGCAAGCTGATGGAATTTTTCGTTGTGGTCATGCAAATAAATGTAATGCAATTGTTAGATATTTGGTCATTAATTCGATAATTGTTCATAAAAACACATGAATGAGAGGTGTTTATTTTTATTTTTTTCAATGATAAAAAGATTAGAAGTTTAACTTACCATTCTTATTTGTGTTTGGTCTTGGAGAGAAGAGTCTGCTTGAGCAGGCTGAATGTATGCTTCCAAATTTTGTGTGATTTGGATTGAGGATCATGGTGTTTATTTATACTGATGGCAATTTATAAATTCTATGAATGGATAAGTGATAATGAAAATCGGTTTTTGCAAGAAATTTTGGGACGTTGCATACGTCTTACGTTTTTTTAAACTTATGCATTTTGCAATTTTTGATTGATATAAATATTAAATGAGAATATTGGTATATATAAATGTTGAATGTGTAGATTTTTTGTCCTGGTAAGAAAAAAGTGTGGTCAATCCCTGTTTTTCATTTCTTTTATACTAGATTTTTTGCCCGTGCTACTGTTGTGGATATGATAAAATATATAAAAGCTTTTAAACAAATTATTTTAGTTTGATAGTTTGTTTTATGGTGTGAATGTATAAAATATATGAAATCAAAATGCAAAAAATATTTTAAATTTTTTAATGTAATTTGAAATTAAATGGATGAGAATTTTTTTAAAAAAATGATAAATTAAAGTAGTAAATTTTAAATAATAAAAATAATAAAAAAATTCATTTAAAAAGTAAAAAAAAATTATTGTATAAATTATAATTATATATTTAAAAAATAAAACACTAACGTTCTAAAATTTTATTTCAAAATTCATATATTAAAAAAAATTATTAACAAATAAAATTACATCAAAAAATTATTTTTATGTGAATTTTAATAAGAAATAAATAATTAAAAAATTAAATTTAAACAATAAAAGTAATATAATCATATATATAGATATGTCATCTTTAAACTTTATGGGAAACTAAAAAATAACGATTTATTATATATATATATATATAGAGAGAGAGAGAGAGAGAGAGAGAGAGGAGAGGCTCGGTTGCAAGCCAACTAAGACGGGCGTCCGGTTGGCTTGTGTAACCGGGTTGCATATAAAAAAAAAAAGGAGGAGGCCATCTCGCTTGGGCTGCAGGCAAGCCCGCGCGTCGAGCCTTATCAACGAAAAAACACCGCAACTTTCGACGTACCCGAGGTCATCGGAAGTTCGTCAAAAAATCCGAGATCAACTTTCGGATCTTTAGAAATTAAATTTCGATACCATTTTTTTTCCGAACACCTCTAAATGATCGAAATAAAGCCAATAAATATATTTAAAATCTTAAAAATCATTTTAATACACATAAAAACAAAGAAAATTACAAAATCAAATCGATTTTTTTCTTTTTTTGACTCCGATCTACCTCCTCTAATTGTTTAATGGCTTGAGACCACCATGGACAAACTCATCTCTCAAAGATAAAAAGATATAGTGGATTTTCTCCGGCCAAAGTGGCTTAAATAAGCTTGACCGACGATCTCTCTCTCCTTCCATCTCTCTCTTCCTCTCGGCCTTTTCTCGTCCACCCAGTGACCAAAATGGATAAACAAATAAATATATGGATCAAAATATACATTCAAAAATATAAGGGATCAAAATATAAAAAAGTCATGAATGGTGAAAGTAACGATGAAATATAAGAGAGTGAATAGTAAAATATGAGTGTGTGCACAATGTTTCAAATAGTAATCACTATTCATTTCATGGTTTTACTTTAGTTTATTAGTTAATGTCAATTTGTTAAAGAGACAATTGACTTGTTGATAAGATAGCAAGAGGCTTTTGTCTAGCCCATCGATCCTTGTTATTTTTTCTATAAAATTGGTATGCTTCCTAATTATTCCA